ATAATCACTTCGACAGTTCGTTCTTTCTTGTGCGACGTCTGCAGTAAGTTGTATGCAATCTAATGGCAGTATATTGTAGCCAGTAAAATAATTGTTAAATGCAAATGATTTTGATAAATGAAATATTTCCACTTCATTGTACATTGCCCTATTCATGTAAAAAATATTGCGGATTTACGATATGTATATGAACCCTGCAGTTTTACTGATGGATCGAGGTGTGCAAAACATAAACTAAAAAACTGTTTTCACGAAGTCATTCAGTCGCACTTTGTTCTACAGGGTGTCAAAAAAAACGACGCTATGGAAATTCAACATGCTATCGTGCATTATAAACGTAACTAAACAATTCAATTTTTACATAGGACGAAAGACCTGCTGCATGTTTAGCTTTTCTATGATACCTTTTTTAAATCGTATAAGGAAGGAAAATGGCCATATACTCGTCAAATGAAAATTGCCGGTCGAAATCACATTCTTCCATCTTCTCTTCGAATCTTGCCACGAGAAATATTTGCACATACATGCATGAGTATAACTTTTTAACTTTTCATCGATCGAGCAACGAGTTTGAGAGACCCGCTTTAACATGATGCACTAAATACATGCATGTATCGACATTCAATTTATTCAGGATTTTGTCCATAGATATCTTATATATACTAAATAGTGCATCTAATTATTCTGCAATTGAAAAATTGAAACCGTGATTGCAGTCTCAGGTCGTTCCCATGAAATGAGAAGATTCGTATGTTTTCTATTTCTTAAACAGGCAACTTAAACATTAAGTTAACCCTATTCCAAATACGTTTTTAAACTATTCAAATGATGAAAAATAAAGTTATTGTTGTTTTCAAGTGTTTATTGGCAAGTGGGAACGACCAACATGCATGGCCGCCATCTATCGAAATGGGGGTAACCGCTGGAATATTCTTGGCTTCAATTTTACTAAATGAGATGTGTTATCTAGTGTATATAACATAAATATGATTTTGTCCCGTTCAGTCGCAACCAATATAAGCAACCAATTACTTTGGATAGGCATGCAAATTCAAAGTCGGCAACCAGTGGGAGTCAAACAAGGCGGCCTATATAGAGATAAAGCGGGGCAACCAGCTCGCGCTCCTAAACTAAGGCAGCAGGTTTTTGGTGAAAATTTAAAAAGAAGCAGATTGTGTTATGCCTTATGGCCATTTTTTCAACCTTTTGAGTGCAAATACAAACTAACCGAACATGTTTGTGCAATATCACTCTGCATGCATGCGCACGTAATTACTTTCAGTTAGCAAAATTTCCAAAGACTATCGATGATATGCAAAATTTCGGTGGAAGCAAAATTTCCAACGATAATATCTATTGTCGTTTTACTGCCAATTAATACACCTATGCGAATTATCGGATTAAATTATCCGATTTAAAACCAAATGCGAATTTATATATAAAACTTAATACTTCGAAACATCTCTTATCAAGTCGTAGCGGGTAATTTAAAAATTATAAACAACCCAACAGCCTATATAAAATGCAGACGAGTTGGTTGTGGGCGGCGCTCATCGCTGGAAACAGTTGTTGTTGATAGTTAGGATCCGGGGATGCATGGTCCCTGACCTCCCCACCTCCCAAAACTCTGTGTGTTTGAAAAAATAGTCGGCGAATGTATAGTGAACAGATTTAAACGTGTAGTTTTTTAATTTGATGCAAGCAATTTTAAGTAGAGTACTGTACTTCGCGTGTTTTAATTTTTGCCGTTTTTGTATAATAATTGTTTTCATGTTTTGATGTTGATGTCTTTGATAATTTAATCGTTGTTGTGCCGGTTTGGGTAAGTGTAAACATTTCAGTAGAAAAATTCCATGCCGTACTTGCTTTGTGTTGTCGGTTTTATTCATATCTGCGAAATTTTTAAGCCGTTCTTAACTCAATAATTCACTTTAATGCAAGCTGGCCCCGATATGCATGGAATTGCAGTGAATGTTATCGTTCATCATAATAAAACTAGCTCATCAGTTGTGTTTTTACGTTTGTTTACAATGGTCATAATACTTTACTGCTGGTCGACTTTTTTTACTTCATCTGATAAGTAAGGCGAGGGGTTGCTGCATGCATGTATTTTCTAGTTAGCGTGTAATTTTACGACTGTTGAAATAGGATTAATGTTTTTTAGGAATTCCAGTAGTAGCTCACTTGACCAAAAAATTAATTCTTCTAAATATGCCAAGCGCATTGTTGACTGAAACTTTGACAACAAAGTATTTTTTGGGATTGAGCCTTGTGCGCAGTTTTTTTTTTGGTATCTGGGATACGTCGTGAAAGCTAGTTATTCAAAGACATAAACATCTAAGTTGAAAATGTATCTTCAATTAAATTGTTTTACGAAACTTCGAATTTAATTAATGGGGAATTGAACATCCTCGAAATAAGTTATGTAATATTTAAGCAACATTTAAGCAGTTTCCACTAATGTAGTTTACCTCTTTTCCATCCACTTTCATCACTAGTGTCCAGCCCCCCTTTCCACATCCAGATATTTCTGCCATGTGACAATAAACATTGTAGTTTTCATGCGAATCTTTATTTTTTAGTGTATAATTACCGCTGGTTAACGTTCTAAATAATAAATGTTTGGTTTAGGAAAATGACGTCCTAGAGCATGATGAGAAATTTGCAATGGTTGAAAAGGTTGGAAAAGGTCATTTTAATGAAGTTGCATGGCTCTATTCATAATTTATCATTTATGTAGTCAATATACAGCATTATCTACATGGCATGTCATTGGGCATGCAGAATTCCCAATCTACAGCGGGTAACATCTTTTCCTATGGAGAGTATAGCAGCGTATTTTCATTTTTTTATAATGTTTAAAATTATATATCTTTTAACGTTTTGGATTGATTTGTGATTAACTAGAGTTGCTATGTGTTTAATTATGATTCAAAGTAGCCAAAACTTGATAAAATGGCTCCCCACATGGTTAAAATGGCACTCTACCGACTCTATATTTTAAAATTTCCCCAGAAATAGCTATCCCACGGATAGCTTGGAGAATACATTTTCATTATGTTCAAACTAGCGGAGAGTAGAATTATTAGGGAAATTCCCGACGTAGAATTGCGCCGCCCTGGTGACTAGTATCCTGGTTTACTGGAGAGGTGGGTTGGTTGGTTGTATCTTTGTAGTAAGGTAACGCGTTCACTGTACCCGTGTTGTATCTTCGGTAAATACCATTTGGTGTTTAAAAAATGGCGAAATAGGTGGCTTCGAGCATTGGCTTTTATTCAGAGTTAGACTATTTGTCAACTGCAAACATTATACGCTCCCTAGCTTCATTATATGCTGTGCATTAATAATTGAACTATCGTAAAACCACATCTTACGCTATGGGCTAACATCTTCGACTGTTTGGGCTTAAAGAGATCCTAAAGCTATACATTTTCTTACTGGTTCCCTTCCTGAAATAAATGTTGTTCATTTATTGCATTTGATTAATAAATTTTCATCTGACGTGCTTCCCTCAATACACAGTACCATGCAGTTGCTCCTTTACACAGTAATTTGAGGTTATATTTCTATGTTTCCGTTTCAGTACAGGCTAACCTCGTGCAAAAACTATTTACGTCCACTTCAAGATTTTGCATATAGGTTTGAAGACACTGCAGTGATTGCACTAGGGTATCGAAACGTTGGATCGTGAATGCTCTTCGGTCATTAGGTTTTGAACTTAAACATGCTCATTAAATAAGCAGAAAGCTTGCTGCATAGCCCCATATCAAAAGCAAATAGAATCTCATACAGTACTGCTGTTAATGTAATGCATTTATGTATAGTACCCATTTCTCTCCAGTAGTTCTTTACAGGATGATAACGATGGCAGAACTGCAAAACAATTTTAAAGAAATTCTTCTGAACAAACTATTTCAATTTATCTTTAAGTTGTGGCCTACTAAGCATAGCTTGTTTAGACCACAGAAAACTGTTTTTTGTTATAATTAAAAGAGAATTCTATTTTACGGCATAAAAAATAATATTCTTACTATGCTGAAAGACTCAACATAGAAATTCCACATTGATTCGTTGTGAACTTACTTGTTGGTTGAGTTGTTGAACTATATGTCTTATTCAGTGTAGATGTTGCTATAATTAGAGAGATGAGTAATATTTAAAACCGTAAATGACCGGTTGAATGTTGGATTTTTGCAACGACTCATTGTAAACCTATACCTGTTGGTTGAATTGTGTAACCATTTGTTTTCAGTTTCGTGGTAGGCTGTACTATAATTATGATCAAGAAATTATTGAAAAGAATATGGAAGTGAGCTTATTAATAATTTAGCGCAACATTAAAATTTGGTTAAGTTATAGAATCATCTGTCGTTTAATGTGTAGATTTTCCTATAATTATAAAAAATTATTTCAAAGGAGAAAATTTAAATATGCTCGAAAAACATAAATGGAAGAAAATGGAATTTTAGAATCCTGATTTATTGAGAACTTCCTTGTTGGTTGAGTTGTCCAAACTTTTGTTTCCCTCGTCGTCGTAGGTTTTACTGAAACGTAAAGGCCCTGTCACACTATTTCGTATGAGAGAAACGTATGGTATGAAAATTAATGAAATAATTTTCATACGCACAAAAGTCCTTTGAAATGCTAACGTATGAGTACCGTACATCTGGCGTACCTATAGCGTATTCAGCGTGTGCCTAGAGTATGCTTATCGTATAAAGCATTCGTCCAATACGCACAAAATTTTTGAACATGCTTAAAAAAAAATTTATGCCTCGGCGTGTGCCAGCGTATGCCACCGTATGCGACCGTGCTTGAAACGTATGCCTAACGTACCCCTAACGTATGTCAGCGTATACCGGCGCATGAGTGATATTTTTTATACGCTGGCATATGCTAGTACGATACGCAATAGTGTGACAGGGCCTTAAAATATTACGCATTATGCAAGTTAATGAAAAACAATAAAATGAAAATCGTAATGTTAGTTGTGAACTTACTTGTTGGTTGAGTTGTCGAAACTTTTGTTTCCCTCGTCGTCGTAGGTTTTGCTATAGAACGAAGATTATATACGCATTATACGCACGTTAATGAAAAGCAATAAAATGAAAATCGTAATATTAGTTGTGAACATACTTGTTGGTTGAGTTGTCGAAACTTTTGTTTCCCTCGTCGTCGTAGGTTTTACTATAGAACGAAGATTATATACGCATTATACGCACGTTAATGAAAAGCAATACAATGAAAATCTTAATATTAGTTGTCAACATACTTGTTGGTAAAGTTGTTGAACTATATGTCTTATTCCATGTAGATGTTCCTTTAACTGGAAAGACGAGTAATATTTGAAAACGTAAAAAAATTAATATTCTTAAGATGACTGGATGAATATAGAATGTTTACAACGATTCATAGTAACTTACCTGTTGGTTGAATTGCGTATAAACCATCTGTTTTCAGTTTCGTGGTAGGCTGTACTACAACTATGAAAACATTTTTTAAAATATTGCCGAAAGTTATAAAAGGAAGAATATGGAAGTGGAATTGTGTAACCATCTGCGTTTCCCGTGGTAGGCTGTGCTATAATTGTAAATAAATTATTTAAAAGCATAAAATTAAGTACTGGCTGCAGAAAAAAAGAAAAGAACAATATGGCAGTGAGCTTTTTATCGCAATATTAAAATTTGGTTAAGTTGTAGAGTTATCTGTCTTTTATTAAGGTGTAAATTTTTCTATACTTATAAAAAATTATTTCAAAGCAAAAAATTAAATATGCTGGAAAGATATTAAAGAAAGAAATTCATTGTGAACTTATTTTTTGGTTTAGTTGTTGAACCTTTTGTCTGCCCAATCGCCGTAGATTTTACTATATAGAACGAAGATTATCCATTAACACATGCATGTTAAAGAAAAGTAATAAAATAAAAAATCTAAATATTATTTGTGCACATACGTGTTGGTTGAGTTGTTGAACCATATGCCTTTTTCGGTGCAGATGTTGCTATAATTAGGAAGAGATTAATTTTTCGTAGTAAAGTCGTAAAAAAATTAATATTCTTAAGATAACTGCATGGATGAATATAGAATGTTTACATGCAATGATTCATTGTGAACCTATACTTGTTAACTGAGTTGTGTACCATCTGTTTTTCTCGTGGTAGGCTGTACTATAATTATATGAAGAAATTAATTAAAAGCATTAAATAAAATATTACCGAAAATAATAAAAGGAAGAATGTGGAAGTGAGCTTTAGCGCAATATCAAAATTTGATTACATTAAGTTGTAGAATCATCCATCTTTAGCCTGCGAACAGGCTCTCAAGGTAAATTGAGAGCCTGCATCGATGACTATAATGAATTTGAAAATCTGCGTCTCAAATCATGACGCAAAATTCTCATTGGTCAGATGCTATAATTTATATGTTTCCGCTGAGCTCTATATATTACTGAAGCACTGTGCATAAAAAACACATTAACTGATCAAATTGGTCTTGGCCATCTTCATCAAAGCACGAAATGTTCTGTTTTGAGAAAACAGTATTTAAAACATTTAAACTTTCGCTTGAATATCTTATATTCGAAAAACAGTACAAACTATACAGTCTAAATTTAGTTTGCACGGACTAAATTTAGTTTGCACATAGTAAATAGAATAGATGGTTTGAAAACTTATTAGAATAACAATATTACTCATTATCTATGTTAGTCAACGTTTATTCATAAATCTGGTCCTTTACCATCACGTGTGTATTATATTTTTGCCAAATCCACCAATAGCAATTTCCAATTTACCATACTGTTCGAGTGACAGTTAGGTAACTTTACTAAGGCCTACTAAGCCATTGCTATTTTTTAGTTGGGCAAAAATCCAATACACACGTGACGGTGAACGACCAGATTTATGAATAAACGTTGACTAACATAGATAATGAGTTATATTGTTATTTTAATGAGTTTCCAAACCATCTATTCTATTAACTATGGTTTGCACGAAAATTGTAAACAACACCATATTAGGATAGACATTCCATATTTGGAAAAACTAACGTTACGGGGCAGATATTCAAAATTGTATATCGTCAGTGCAGGCTCTCAATTCACCTTGAGAGCCTGTTTGCAGACTAATTCATCTTTTAAGTGTATAGATATTGATATAATCATAAAAAATATTTCAAAGCATAAAATTTAAATATGCTTTAAAAACATGCAAGGAAGAATATGGAATTTTAGATTCCTGTTTTATTGTGAACTTAATTACCAGTGAGTTGAGTTGTTGAACCTTTTTTCCGTACCGTCGTCGTAGGTTTTACTAAAACAAAGATTACGCAAGGCAATAAAATAGAAATTTTGAGTTTTTTCTCTCAGAAACGGGCAGGAATCTTATTATAATCATTCATTCTCAACTAACTTACTGGTTGGTTGAATTTCAGAACCTTCGGGGATTTTTGGTGTGAATTTTGCAGCAAAAATTGTGGATCACGTTGTAAAGATTAATTAACTGCAAAATTAGGTTTTTAAGTTAAAGGTAAATAATAAAGCGAATTAATGTTTAATTATTGTACACTTATATTTTGGTGGTTTTTGTTGACGAAAAATTTGCATTTAAACCCGATTAATTTTGTGAAAATGTGAACCTCCGGCAATATTCAATATATTATCTGTATTCTCAAAGTCCACTTATTCTTTGAAAGTAAGAAAATCGTCATTTACTTTTTAATCCAAAGTCATTCATTTGATAACTGAACAGCAATAGCTAGAATTGTTTTCGGTATTTTACCAAAATTCAGGAGACAATAGTTTGGAAAATGTTTGGTGTAAAAAATAGACCAACACAGCAAATTAAAGCTTGTAAACAGTATAATTCTGATATCGAAGCCCGGATGTCGCATTCAATAACGCTTAAGCATCTTTTAATGCCAAAGAACGGTGCCTTAATTGTTAAGAATAATAGGAAATGCTCCGCGCCTTTCAGCATTACTGCTGCCCGCTAACAGTGGATACCATCCATGGTTACGAATTCTGACAATATTTATAGTTAGAGTTTTCGAAGTATTTTCTCTCTGAACGATTATTAGTCGATCATTTCTATAGCTGACATTTTTAAATTTTACTCAGTGTCAACTTACTTGTCGCCTGAGTTGTTGAACCGCCCATTTTCGTCGTTACAGCCTTTGTTAACTGTGGTGGAGTGTTTGTTGGAACAGGACCGTCAGGTTTCTAGAAATAAATTAACAAAATTTTACTTCAAGAATGATGCTCATGCAATCTCACGTAAAAACACATGATTGTGTTCTCACGTTCCTAGGAACGACAGTTGATGAATGCTTAGAATAAAACAAGAATAAGTATAAGTGGACTTAATGCAAGCATATATGCATGAGGAAAATGGTCCAGCAAAGTAAGTAAGATCGAAGATATCCCGCAGAAGGGCAACAGAAAATGAAATGAAGCGATATTTTGAAGAGAAACTTCCAAAACAAGGTAACTAGAACTTAAGAGTCGCAAATATATATATATATATATATATATATATATATATATATATATATATATATATATATATATATATATATATATATATATATATATATATATATAATTTGTTATCTTAAAATGTTTCAATTTCTCGCTACTTTAAGTTTCATGCCACTATTTGTGGCAATCTTCAGGCGATTAAATTCAGTCACAGATTAAGTATATACCAGATGCGTAACTTAATAGGAATTCGTGTCCTCAAATTTCCCTAGATGTACACGTCATGCTCACGCCATGACACTTGCTAGGAAGATGGCGTCCTGGAAAACATGAACTTTTGCATTTTATTGCGGCTTTCTTGGATCGAAATTTATGGATTAAACAATCAAGAGCATCATTTGTTGAATGTTTAAAGTTTTTGAACGCAATTAAAGTTGTAGAAAAGGTGTTGAAAACATTTTGAAGGCAATGACGTACTACCAAATGACGAATAATCACGCGAGCGACACTTGCTAGGAAGATGGCGACCATGGGACGACTTTTTTACTGAAGTTACACATCTGTTCTTACTTAATCTATGTCTTGGATGCGCGCGCGTTAATTGGAATCACTTCACTACGTTTGAAATGACGTGGTTGATGTGCCGTTTAATTAAATTTCAAATGACGCGAGCCAACAGATCACGACACTTTTGTATATAAAAAGAGCGTGTGAATTAAACAAGTCACATATTATTAGCACTGATGAAGATCCGGGCTTACGGATCGAAAGCTTTGCAGTAATAAATTTACGTGGTGTTTCCACAAACAAAAC